CGTCCTCCTCCTACTCCTCCTCCTCCCCCTCCTCCTCCTCCTCCTCCTGCTCCTCCTCCCCCTCGTCCTCCTTTTCCTCCTCCTCCTCCTCGTCGTCCTCCTCCTCCGAATTGTCCTCCTCCCCCTCTTCCTCCTACCACGCCCATCCCCATCCTCCTCTTGATTATTGTGTTCCTCCTCCTCCTTTTCCTCCTCTTCTTCCTGCTCCTGATCCTCCGTGGTACATGTCCCCATTATGCCACCTAGCCTGCCGATGGCGGCCCAATCCGGGCCCTTTTTCCCATTTCGAAACATATGACGGAAATACAGGAATGCTATGAAATATATGCAAACACATACAGATTTATATGTCGACAGAAGACCACCCACTGCAAACAATCATGATGAAGGACCCGCAGTGCGCATGAGACCCCAGCAAAAGCGCAAGAAAGCATGCAGGAATAGGCAAGATAGAAACGAAGGCAAGCCAGAGGGTGTGAAGGAGTGACATACGTGTTCAGTACTTGCAACAGCGCCGAGCGCTACATACGCGGGAAAGAACAGCGCCATGCGCTCGCTCTATAGTAAAACAGCGCGTCGCGCTGAGCGAAGCAAGCGCGCGGGGTGGCATGGCGGGCCAAAAGCAGCTGAAGATGGGAAGCCACACGGAAAAAAACAGCGCCACGCGGTGCGTGGCGCAGCGGCTCCCTGCGAGCTGCGATGCACAGCGCCAAGCGCTGCGTGACGGGACAGCGCCGCGCGCTCCGGGAACCCCTGTCATTTTGGGTGCGGATACTTGTCGTCAGCTGCTCCACCCTCCCTCCAGGAGCCCACGAAAGTGGCGACAAGTGCGCACTGCGCAGCCCCTCAGGGAGCCGCGAGGTCCCAATCGGGTTTGCGAACCATTCCACTCCGCCAGACCTCCCAAGAGCCAACAAGAATGGCAACAATTGCGCACATCGCAGCCACGCAAGGAGCCGCGAGGTCCCAACTGGATCCCCGTACAACTCCAATCCGCTGGACCTCCCAGGAACCCACCCACGAAACTGGCGACGGTTGCGCACTGCGCAGTCACACAGGGAACCGCGAGGTCTCGACGTGGTGTGCTTCACTACCGACTCCGCTGGACCTCCCAAGAGCCCGCGAAAATGGCAGCAGGGAAAGCCCTACACGACAGTGGCGAAGCGGCGCAAGCGGGTCGAAGGAGAGAAGGGAGGAAAAGAGAAGGAAGAGGAGACGGGAGGCAGGAAGTAGGAGGCAGGAGGCAGGAGGGAGGGGAGGAGGGAGAAACGAGAACCCGACACAGGAGTGTTGGGAACAATGCAGAAACGACGAGTTTCGTCTCAACATGCATTGCGTCGCCGATGTTGCACAATGCGTGGCAGGAATAGGAATAGGCGCACATCCTGCGCGAAAGGCCAACATGTCGTTGGCGCCTGGGCGCCACGCTGTTCCGCTAGAAGTGAGTTCCCGCTGGGGTGCGGCGCACATCTTTCGCACGCCACTTCGTCGACGCGCGAACGGGCGAAAATGTGGCTCTCGCCCCTGCGACGCGCACAATTCGCCTGACGGTGGGCCAGCCGCGTCGACGGCGCGGCGCATTGTTGTCGCTCGCCAACCTTGACGGCCCGCGCGGGTAGGCGACGTGCCACCCCCGCCCAAGCTCCGTACACACTCCGCTCGGCAGCGGCGCCCCGCCCGGCGCGTAGCTCCTTCGCCGAACCACGTGCAAGCAACAGCGGAAGCGGGGCCGCGCGAGAGAGCGCGAGAGATGCCGTCCCCACCCGAGCGCCGCGCAGCTTGTCAGGAGGAAGTGGCAGGGCTGTGTCAGCGCGGCGCCGGCGCATGCTTCGTCTTCGCCGCGCCAGTCAGAAGTTCTGCCGGTCCGGCCCCTCGCGGCCCGTGCAGTCTTCCTTCTCGCCAGCTCGTCGGGAAAGGGGCCAGTTGTGAGCGCCTTCCGTTTGCGAGGTGTGACTGCGCTCTCAAATCCCAAGATCCGATTGTGGCACAATTGGGTATCATGTTGTAGGGGTAAGGGGACGCAGGCCGGGCGCTCTGACTCGCTCGACCTGGCTAACTTGACACCTCCTCCTCCTCCTCCACCACCTGCTCCTCCTCCTCCTCCTTGTCCTCCTCTTCCTCCTCTTCCTCCTCCTCCTCCTCCTCATCGTCAGCATCATCATCATCATCATCATCATCATCATCATCATCATCATCATCATCATCATCATCATCATCATCATCATCATCATCATCCCCATCATCAGCATCAGATTCATCAGCATCACCATCATCATAATCATCATCATCATCATCATCATCATCATCATCATCATCATCACCACCATCATCATCATCATCATCGTCGTCGTCGTCATCATCATCAGCATCATCATCATCCTCTCCCTCCTCCTCCTCCTCCTCCTCCTCCTCCTCCTCCTCCTCCTCCTCCCTCCTCCTCCTCCTCCTCCTCCTCCTCCTCCTCCTCCTCCTCCTCCTCCTCCTCCTTCTCCTCCTCATCCTCATCCTCATCCTCATCCTCCTCTTCTTCCTCCTCCATTCCTTCTCCTTATGGATAACTTCTCCCTGTCGCACCCCGAGGCAAGTTTTTAGGGCGGGCCAGGCGTTTCGCCTGAGACTTCCTCACCATTTCTGACCCTGCAGCTTAAAGCTTCAAAAGTGGCAACAGCTTCACAGATGGAGGGCGGGTGATTTCCGAAATGTGGCTCTCGCCCTAGCGCCGCGCACATTCGTTTTCAAAATTTGCTAGCGTTTCACGGATTGAGGGCGGGTCGTTTTCAAAATGTGGCTCTCGCCTTAGCGCCGCGCACATTCGTTTTCAAAATTTGCTAGCGTTTCACGGATTGAGGGCGGGTCGTTTTCAAAATGTGGCTCTCGCCTTAGCGCCGCGCCCATTCATCTTCAAACTTTGCAAGATCTTCACGGGTTGAAGGCGGTTCCTTTTCAAAATGTGGCTCTCGCCTTAGCGCCGCGTACATTCATTTTCAAAATTTGCCAGAGTTTCACGGGTTTCCATAATCAACGTACCAGAAATTGCGTTCTGGAAAGATTCAGGATTACGCGGGTGCAACAATATTGTTGATTCGCGGTGCTGAAGTCCCAAAAAATTTGGACGCCCGAAATGGGTACCGAAAAAATGGGTAACATGCCCAACAGGCAGGCGGCCTCCTGTCTCGAATGGACACAGTCCGCGGCGTCGTGGACAGCGAGCCCTGCTCAAAATGAACAAGATCCGTTGTTGGGCAGTGTACCCATTCTTTCAGTACCCATTTCGTGCGTGCAGAAAAAATGGCGTCCTGGCACGATTCCGGATCGTCAAGATGCAGCAGTTAGGTTGATACGTGGCGTTGAAATCCCGAGACCAATGTCTCGGTATGCTTCATGATCTCCAAACTGTTGTCTTCCAACGAGGCAACTCCCTCAATAGAAATGAACCGTTGTATGGGCCTATGAAGAGGGAGCTTGGAGGGAGGGGTAATTCCAACATTGTTGATGACCCTTGGGTTTACACTGGTCCTCCTCCTCCTCATCATGATCAGCATCAGCATCATCATCATCATCATCATCAGCATCATCAGCATCAGCATCATCATCATCATCATCATCATCATCATCATCATCATCATCATCATCAGCATCATCATCATCATCATCATCCACCTTCCCCTTCACCTCCTCCTCCTCCTCCTCCTCCTCCTCCTCCTCCTCCTCCTCCTACGCCTCCTCCTCATCCTCCTCATCCTCCTTCTCCTCCTCCTGGAGACGGGTGACTCGGGGGCGAGGCGGTGGAGCAGTACCGCGGTCAGGACGGCTACCTGGATGTATTCGGCGTTGGTTCGGGAGGCGAGTGACTCAAGTACAATGCGACCCTCGCCTAGACGGTGCGTTGTCGGCGTGGTGATCATGAAAGGCTCGATGGAGTCGCCTGGAGAGTTGCGCGTGGCCGCTGGCATCGCTGCCCGGCTTGCTGGACCAAAGCAGACAGTCCCGCGCGCCGAGCTCCAGACCTTCATCATCATGCTGAGGCGCACTCGCGGGAGCCTGAAGTACCACACGGACCACATGCCACTGTTGCATAGCTGGCGTGAGCGGCGCCAGTTGCACCCGTCAGGCAAGTATGCAGATCTGTGGCGGACGATCAAACGCATTGTGCGCCATCGTGGGGATGAGAAGATCAAGATGCGTTGATGTCACAGTCATCAGGCGGAGCAGCTAGCAAGTTCGGGTCTGAGCAGCAGTTGTTCCGTGAAGCTGGCAACATGTGTGCTAATGAGTTTGCGAGCCGTGCTGCAGCCAGTGTTAGCAAGCGTCTCCTTGAAGCCAGAGGTGTCCATGATAGATGGTGTGGCACAGATGGTGCGCAAGCGTACAGTGCGTGCTCAGTAACTTAGTATGAAGGCCGATCCGATCATCTCGGGGGTGAGAAAAATGCGAAGCAGGTCATTAGCAAGTAGCGAGGCTCTTGGCGGCATCCCCCCACCTCCTGGAATGTCTCGGGACCCGCTGGAGTTGCAAAGCTTGTGAGCAATAAATCATATCCGACACTTTGCCTGTACGCCGTGTGCTCCGCAGCAGTGTGCAGCTGTCGAGACTGTAGGCGTTGGTAATAGGGACGGCTGGGAGCCGGCTGGGGTGGGGGGGAAGGAGCTCGACCCTTCGCATGCGCTCATGTACGTAGCCAATATGAGCCTGTACGTGTGCACGACGTGCGGCTGTCATGCTAGTCTAATGGCGGCGTCCCTAGCCTTCGAGTGTCATCCCAAGACTGCGAAGGGCGAGCAGAATTTGAGACGGCTGTCGCACATAATCCGCGACACCGCCGTCGTCAGCTATCGAACGGATTCCCCGCCCGACGACCGGCCTCGAGTGGATAAAAACCCACGCTTCAGCGCTACAGTCGGTGCAAACGCTTGCTCACTCATGTTGCCCTCACTGACGCTGCTGCTGCATGCTCTTCCCGGGGAAGTGGGCCCGGAGGTGCTCACGCGAGTGGCCCCACCTCAGAGGTACGCGCAAGGCAGTGCAAAGAGGCTCTCGCCTGGAGGGAAGGGTGCAGTGCCCGATCCAGTGCTGACGCCGCCGCCGCTGCCCGCAGGCCTGAAGGGGGCTTGTGGGAGCGAGCAGGGCGAGCAAAGAGCAGCAGCAGGCCTAGCGAGGCCTGGATTCAGCACGACTGGTGCTTCGCGGGGGTATTCCCAGAATGTTACTCCTCTTCCTCCTACTCGTCGTCCTCCTCCTCTTCTTCCTCCTCCTCCTCCTAACCCCCTCCCCCTCCTCCTACCACCCCCTCCCCTTCACCCTCCCCGTCCTCCTTCCAGTCCTCCTCCTCCTCCTCTTCCTCCTCATTCTCCTCATCCTCCTCATTCTCCTCCATTCCTTTTCCATTTGATTCCACCCTCTCGCACCCCGAGGCCATTCGGAAGGGCGGGCCAGGAGTTTCGCTTGAGATGTTCTTTCAATGTTTGGTCCTGAGGCTTGCAAAATAGGCAACGGCTTCACATATGGAGGGCGGATCGCTTCAAAATGTGGCTTAGCCTTGATGCCGCGCACATGCGTCGTCAAAAAACTGCAACAGCTTCACGGATGGAGGGGGTGGTCCTTTTTACAATGTGGCTCTCGCCTTTTGCGCCGCGCACACTCTTTTGCAACAGTATGGAATGCAATTCCTTTTCAAAGTGTGGTGTTCGCTTTGGCGCCGCGCACATTCGTACTACAAGTTTGCAATATTGTCAGGGATTGTGATGGTTGACTTCCCAGAAATGGCATCCAGGCACGACGACAGCGAAAAAGAGGCCTCCTCGCTCCTTCCGAGCACCTCCGGGAAGTTCGCCAATTCTCAAAAACCTCCTCCATTCCTTCCCCTGGTAAAGAACTCTGCCATGTTGCACCCCGAGGCCGGTCGAAAAGGCGGGCCGGTTTCGCCTGAGACTTCCTCACCATTTAGGACCCTGAAGCTTCAAAACTAATAACAGTTTCACGGATGGTGGGCAGGTTGTTTTCCAGATGTACCTCTCGCCTGAGAGCCTCGCACAATCCTTTTTGAAAGTGCGGGTGGCTTTCCCGCCTTAGTGCCGAGCGCATGCGCTATAAAAACCTGCAAGAGTTTCACATATTGACGGCGGGTCGTTTTGAAAATGTGGCTCTCGTCTTAGCGCCGCGCACACTCGTCTAAAAAAAGTTGCAAGAGCTTCACGGATTGTGGTTCTCGCCTCAGCGCCGTGCACATTCGGTTTCAACATGTGCAAGACGTTCACAGTTTATCAGGTTTTAACGTACCAGAAATGGCGGTTGAAACGA